GAGTAAGTGTTTGAAATATATTAGTATTGAGCTATTTGAAATTTTATATTTTTACTATATATTAAGTTTTGTTATTTTTCTTTTCAACAGAAACATAGACCTATTATTTAGGCAACGTATATTATACGTAGATATCATCAGTAGACCCCTGTCAGAGCGATAGGGTAGGTATTTTTGATATTAGGCACTATTCAATTATCTCGTATTTATCATAGTTCATGTGCAAAATTGGTAAATTCTATAATTTATTATGTAAGTATTTCAAATGTATTGTATTAAATTCGTAATGTTAATTGCAACCGTTACGGATATCGTGTATTTTTTATGTAAAGTCAATCTGATGTCCATTGTATAATGCAGATCTTTCATTATGTATTGTACATGTGCTTATATGTTTATATGTGCTATTGCAGGGTCTTTCGACTCCCATAAATAATAAAATAAAATGATTGTGTAAACGGAAATTTGCTTCTTCGTGATGTGTAAGAAATCTGTATAGCACCTGAACCCGGCTACAAAAGCAACATATACATTATGTTGTAATTACATGTAATTTGATGTTAAACAGTAGATTGATTGGATTATAACTGCACTTATACAGCGTGACACATGTACAAGTGGTCATTATATGTCTAATGCCTCCACCAGGACTCGAACCCGGGACCTCTGGTTTACTAGCCTTACACTCTACCAAATGAGCTAAAGAGAAATTCTTTCTATCTTACTGGGTAGGAAGCGGCAAGTATTTTAACCGGGAACACATACACACGTAGTATAACTACCTCATACGTTATATTACCTTCCTTCTTATGGCTTAGTTTTGTTATATTTGAATCTATCGAATATCAAAGGAAGGATCACCTTCTAAATTCCAGGGACTAAGCTCACTTAATGACTTCAAAGCCGGTCGATTTCACCGTTCTGTCGCCGCGCGATCCTTTTGATGTACACCAAAGAACCAAACTAGTCTTATTTATCATCGACACGGCAAATCATACAGAACCTTCATGACAGAGTCTATGGTAGTCCGAATTATTCTGACGTTTTATCGGTTTTTTTCATACCGGTCTGTCGTCGATCAACGTAAGAACTCCGGCCCTCTATAATATGCGGGAAATATGCGACCCGCGCCCGGAGCGCACTTCCAACTGATATTTTAGAAACAAATCGTCACTTTCACACACATGTCGCACATGGATCGAAAGATCTATTCTTTATGCACGAGATGAACATTTAAGGTTTACAAATAAGGTAGCTAAATGACAAGATGTCGTGCATGCATTCACTCATTCACACACCCATACACCCACACACCCAATACACCCCCACACCCATACACCCACATAACCATACACCCATACACCAATACACCCACACACCCTTACACCCACACACCCACACACCCATACTCCCCCACACCCTTACACCCACACACCCTTACACCCACACTCCCATACACCCATACACCCACACTCCCACACACCCTTACACCCACACTCCCACACACACATACACCCATACTCCCCCACACCCACACACCCTTACACCCACACTCCCCCACACCCATACACCCACACACCCACACTCCCACACTCCCACACACTCATACACCCACACACCCACACTCCCATACACCCACACTCACACCCCCACACTCCCACACTCCCACACCCCACACTCCCACACCCCCACACCCCCACACACCCATACCCCCACACTCCCACACACCCATACTCCCACACACCCATACTCCCACACACCCATACACCCATACTCCCACACACCCATACACCCACACTTTAACACAACCATACACTCACAGTTCCCACACACCCATACACCCACACTCCCACACACCCATACACCCACACTCACCCATACACCCACACACCCACACTCACCCACACCCATACACCCACACTCACCCACACCCATACACCCACGATTTTATTTGAGCATTGAACTGCTTTTAGTTGGCATTCATAGGCAATATGAATGTCAATTGGACAAAGGAAAATTCAATGAAGCGCGTTAGCGCTTCAAGTTTCATTTGCCTTTGTACAGTTGGAATTCATACCGCCTATGAATGCCAACTGAAAGTGGTTCATTAAGGTTTGAAATGTATCTTTTGAACATTTATGAGGGTATGCAACACAGTTCCGTTCAAACGTATTCCACGATGCGCGTATGCTTCAGCCTTGTACGGCTGTGAACTTTGGAATCTAACACAGAAATATTAATGTTAGAGAGGGCGCAACACTTTATTGTCAAATCCATTCAGGGTTTCGAAACCCGAACAAGAACCGATATGCGTACTGGCCTCCTTGGTTGGACAAGCATAGAAGGATATATAGATACTAAAAAGTTATTGTTTTTGCGGTAGGCTATGCAGATTACATAGTACGACACTCTCGTCTCGTATACTATTTACAATACTATTTATTGTAAATCTGGATGCAGAAAATAGGTATGGTTTTGCGTATGATATCCTAAGGATTCTAAGAATATATAATTTGTATGATCCGGTTCAGAAGTATATAAATGAGGGATGGTTTCCTCTTAAAACACGTTGGAAAATGCAGGTTAAACATGCTGTGCATACATGTGGTCAGTTTTATAAAGATGTTGCCATCCACATAGTTCTGCAGTGTAGTTCTACTGACGAATTAAGGGACGAATTATGGTTTAATATTAGCGATATTTTGTTCAGTGTATATTTGCACTACTTAAACGAAAGTCAATTATTTCATGTTCTGATCGAGGGGATTTTTTCTTACAATTTGTGAAGCTCAGACCTAGAAGAGTTCCGTATGACGTCTGTTAAATTAATTTAAGAGGCCATGTAACGGTACATGTAGTACTGTTAATATTACTACACACTTGCTTTTATTGAATCATGCAAATATTTTGAGTTGGTACTGTTATCTAGAGGCACTGCAACACAAATGTAGATATATACTTATATTTATCATTTTTGGAATCTGTTCATCTCATAGAAAAGTCAATTACACTTGCAATAGTTAGGAAGTATACTATTGTAAATTTTATAAAATAGTTTTCGTTGGGATCTCCTGTTAACTAGAGGTTCCCATCCGGTTTCGGTATATTAAAGAGAGGAAGTTAAACCGGTAGCAATGCGTCCAGCCTCTAATTGTAGCTTCTCTAATTTATCTATATCAGTAAGAGTACATCATCCCGAAGTTCACAGCAATATTCAAAAGTTGAGAGTATAAATGATCTGTATTGTATATCTTATTTAAAGTACGTCGGTTTAGGGTATATTTTAATTTACGGAGGACACCTAGTTGTTTCATTACTGTTTTACATATATTATCAACGTGATAGCTCCACTTAGCATCCATGCATACTCGGCGATTCTTATGGCTATTCTTATATTGTTAAAAATAAGTTCAAAGGTGTGATCTAATTCGAAATTAGACAAGCTTCTGTTTTTGCAGAATTGAATTGAACTATAGCCACTTATCCGTCCACTGTTGTATTTGTACAAGATCAGAATTAATAACTTTTTGTTCAATAAGTTTTGGGGATTTATCCGAACATAAAAGAGAAGTATCATCAAGCAAAAAGTTTCGATAGACTTTCTAAATTATCTGTTATATCATTAATATAGATTATAAATAATAAAGGGCCGATAACCGAACCCTGTGGCACACCTGCAGTAGCCGTCTTAACAGAAGATTTACTATTTCCAAGGGAAATTTGTTGGGATCTATCAGTAACATAATTTATGAGCCAGACCAGTACATTTCCTAAGCCACACTCGATCGAACGCTGTAGAAATGTCACAATATTTTCGCACACGTTATCGTATATTTCAATAAGTTGGTGTACAGTGGAACGACCAGGGGCCTGTTCGTTTATGCGGAGCAAGCGGTTTGACCGTTTATGAATGTAACAATTTCGGGTATAAATCCTGGCGAACCTGGAAATGTGTATGCAGGCCTTGCAGGGCTTTCTCAAGGCTCGCCTGAAAGCAGCATCAGATTACTAGGTCCGACTTATTTAATAAACGAACAACAGTGGTCCGATCGGTTTGACCGTTTAAACGAAAACGGCCCTGGCTGGAAACCTGCCTGATATTTATATATAATAGAATTGTCTGAAAGGTAGTTATGTAAATATTTAGCAACTAATCTTTCGAACACTTTACAAATAGTACTTAGTAGTCCAATGGTTCTCAATAGGAGGGCAGAGGGGATTACTAGAAGTAGCTGCGGGAACCGTAGCTTCTGTGTCCGTTTTGTTTTGATTTTTGTTTATTGTTATCGGACCGAAATCGGACATAGAAGCTACGGTTCCCGCAGCTATACTAGAAGGACATCGTTCCGTGGACCACGGCCGCTGCGACAGCCTGTCCGCATCTGATGAGCTGTCCGGATCCGACCTCAGAGCGTGACCAGGGCCGTTTTCGTTTATCGCGGTCCAAACGGTTGAACCGGTCAGACCACTGTTGTTCGTTTATGAAATAAGGTCGGACCCAGTTATCTGATGCTGCTTTCAGGCGAGCCATGACAAAGCATTGCAAGGCCTGCATTCACCTTTGCAGGTCCGCCAGGATGTTTTCCAGAAAATGTTACATTTAAAAACGGACGTACCGGTTGTTCCGCATAAACTTATAACAGGCCCCTGGATTGGCAGGACGTTTGAATCTCCGAGGGGCTGATACGCGCCCACTCAGCCCCTCACGTCGACCGAACACCGACTCCGTCAGTGAGTGTAGACGAAAATTCCTTCAACCAACCAACCAACCAACCACTAATTGGAGGGGTATTATTTATCTTCCTTTTTAAAACTGTAATCACTAGAGCATGCTTCCATTGTTTTAATATATCCCTTCACAGGTTTGGATCCTAAAGAATTTCTTATGATTTCAAGATCATTAATCTTTTTAACAGAATATTATATATATTTAATATAGAATAGGAGAATAGAGGATAGAAGAAACAACAAGAAAACTAACAACTGTAAAAATGTGTGTTTTTATTTATTGTTATTTTTAAACATTCCGGAAATCATTGGAGACATTCACACTGCGGACAACCGTTGTTCGCCATAGCGCCAAGTTTGTACCCGTATGTACACGTCATCACACATGTCAGTACATTAGCACACTGGTTCGGCGAGAGTTTCTTCGGGTGGCCTGAAAATTAAAGGAAACATTCCCTTGAAATCATTAGCAAATACAAAGATTTAACAATGAGTAAGTCGGTCACTATGGACCATGCGGTTCCTGGGGTCGTTATCATAACGGCACAGGGGCATGAGGACTTATTTGTTTTTCTTCTGGCGTGTATGGGGTAGTTATGAAATGCTGTAGGAGTTACTACACTTGATTGCAAAATCCATCCATATTTTCATAAATTCAAATGCTTTCATCAATCAGTTGGAACAGCATTTCTCTGGCGTTGATCTAAACCCCTAAAGCATCTAATACTTATTCTCTACATATTTACACGATTCCTTTGCAACGTGTTTGCCAGTCAAAACGACGTACAGTCCGCCAAGTATACATCATATGATTAGTTCGCAGGTCCCAGTGCTAACGGGATTACAACTTATTTTGTTCGGTATTGACTATTGCTTAATTACTAAAACTAGTAATGGCATTTACATGTCTAGGAATCTCGGCAGCCTCATTTTATTCAGTGAAATAAACAGATCGTATGGGAAGAACAACATTTTAACAACGACATATCTTCCTTCGCACTACAGTAGAGTTTTTATTTTTATTTTACCTAATTACAACTCAGAAACATGCACGATCGTTCTGTGTAAGTATTTAACACATCGAAGAATAAAATCTAAAACTTCAGCAATTGTAAATAGTATTTAATTAGATATGTCTCTTTTTCGATACACGACGTTAGTTTCATAAAAAATCAATAATATGTCCATTTTCTCGATATATTTTCACGTGGGGAATTATAGCATGACCAGTTATATAAGGCGGAATCATATAGGAGGACGTTTAATTATAAATGTGTTAGATCAGCAAATATTCTTGTCATTGGAGCTGTAATACATCTGTCTTCAAATGGAACGCAAGAGAAGGAACGACATTTAAAATTAAAATCCATACAAACATTTGTTTCAATGCGGTTTAACTATTTTTTTAGGTTCAAATTGGATTTTATTTCCCCCTGGCAATTTTTGTAGGGATGCCAGAGTTGGTGTACCCTGGCTCATTCCTCTTACAAAATATAACCTCACTCGGGAGGCCTCTTTCCCTTCATTCTCTCTTTCTCTTTCATTTCTTCTCTCAAATTCAAAATCATTCATTCTTTCATTCTCATTCATAACAATAATATTAATATTTAATTTTATCGAAATGATAAATTAAATTACACAAACCATTCCTTCTATCCATATTCAAATATTGACTGTACATTCATATTTGTAAATTCATTTAATAATAGTAATAATTCGAGGTTCTTATATACCGCTTTATCATAACCTAGTTCGTCGGTCGTCTCAAAGCGCTTCACAAATTATTATACGTGGTTATAGGGTCTTTGCAACCAGCCGATATCGTTCCCATTTCCCTGGGGAGCATACAGTCGGTGCTGCCATATCGGCGCTCACAGCTAGCATTCTACAATTCTAGCACTGCCCAACCACGTACTCATCTACAGCTGAAGCGGAGTAGAGTTGCTCAAGGAAACACAGTGTCGTGCCGTGCCTCGAACTCGCAACCCTTCGGTCACGAGCCCGGCGTCCTACCACTAGACTACCGCGCCTCCTATATATATATGCCAACTATATCCTTCTTCAATGATTTAGGATTGCTATATTTTCCTCAAAAGAAGACCAGATAAACCGAGTTTATGTACTGAAAATGACGTGTTTTTCATGTGTAATTTGAAATAACTCAAAAAATAATGTGGAATTGAAAAATGTATAAATGTGAATGTACCTATCAATTTAAACATTCTTGCGAGTGAAACCCTTTGAATTTCGAGGTTGGATACAGGAGACATTTCCCCTTTGTCTGCAGGACATTAAAATTATAAGACTCTGCACATATCACTGAAAATTAGAAACTAACCATTGCCAAGTACATGTAAACCATTCGGAGCTGAGCATGCTGGTCCTAAACAGTCTGTAGCTCCCGCCATTGGCCCTCCTCCAGCTCCATGGGAACCAGTACCACCATGTCCTGCTCCTACCGATGGTAGGTTACCGATATTATTCCCTGCTGAGTGAATACTATTTCCGGTTCCGGTTACAGCAGAGCCACCTAGCGAAGGTAAGTGTGGGATGTGCTGTTCGGTTGCAGGTACCACTACAGCTGCAGGTACTACAGCAATCCCGGTTTGGGAGGAACCGTGTCCACTTCCGGTAATGGCGTTTGTCACACTTCCTGTTGTGATTTGAGTCTTTGCTACAAGAACATAATTATATACATATCTACTTTGAGCTACGTAATTATCACAGTAAGTACAGTTATTTTTCAGAGAAATATATGATATTGACTTGTTTTGGTAAGAAGAGTCGACGTCAATTGAAAGATACACAAAAAAGTAGCAAAAAACTTCATAATTTTATGACCTGACAAGTGACTGATAAAAGAACGAAACTAAAGTGTCTTATAATAATCATGAGCTATACAATGTTTTACGGCACGGCCGTTAGTGAGGGAGGAGCCCGGTTGTACTGTAAATGTATCGGAATATCGGTACTGTACTCTTTCAAGCATTGAGTGATGTGTTAAATTACTAAATCAGACCTACATGTATAGCTATACAGTGTATATTACAGTTAAGTTTCCTTTCTTGATTGCACACGAAATTACCATGCTACCTTTCCTGGTTGGTCTTGTTGTTATAACATGTATAAGTAGTTGATATATGCTCCACATTTTAAAAACTGACAAAATGATAGGATATGCTTCTATTTAGCTGAATTCATGATGAAATATATATATCTAATTTTGTCTAAAAATTATACAAAATAATACAAGAATGTGTTTTGACCAAGATTGGTTAAACATTGTCTTAAGTTCTTGAGAAGTCAAACATGTTAAAAGTTTACTAACACAAAAATAAAGAAATGGACGACAAAGTTTGATCAGGAATTTCCCTGGTTCAGATGAGTTAAAACGTTCAGTAAGCGACTGACATGTCACCCCATGACCGCACTTATATATATATACACAATGGAATTTGCTACATGTATTTGCTTAGGTAGTTACAAATTCATTTCGCTTGAAGTCCCAAGAGTCATTTTCATTGAAATTGGAGTCAGTATCATTTATTGCTTCTTCAAATTGAACCGCTTGTTTTACTTCTATGTCACTAGCGACAGACAAACACATGAAATAATACCATTTATTTGACTGCACATCACTAGGATGCACTCCATCATACAAATCTTCATTTCTTTTTTGATGTATTGTTTTTCTACCACGTTTCTTTGTGGATCATAACAAAAGGTCGCGATCCCATCTCACAGGTGTGGTAAAAGCAAGTAATGCAGATCTAATAGTTTTCAAATCTTCTCCAAGTGTTTTTTGTTGTAGTTGTCTTTCCTCTTCTGAATACATAGAATACTGCAGTTTTCGTTTCAATGTATTGAAATCACGAATTTTTTCAAGAGAAACAGATGGAATACATGTGAATTTCACAAACATTTTCAAGTGACTAAAAATGATTTGAAATATCTTTAAATTCAGAAATGATAGACTGCAAATTTACTGTGGATCTAACATACTCTATCTCAGTTCCACCGGAATGAGTATATTTGTTTCAGCAACTTACTGACTTTATGAATAGTTTTAGCAATAGAGAAAATGTATAGTTTCCACAATTAGAAATTGAACCAGTTCAGCACATAAAAACTGTATAGAATATTTGTTTTCAAATCGTACAGACTTGTAAAACAGCAGATGTTCTTTTATGAATAAAAACTAGCTGGAAGATAGTAATCAAAAATGAAATTGTTATGGATTCTATTTTTTTCTTCTATTTTTTTCGTGCAAAATATCAATTAAAAAATTATTATGTTATGGCATATTTCAATAAGTTGGTGGACAGTGGAATGACCTGGCTGGAAACCTGACTGATACTTAAGGTAGTTATGTAAATATTTAGCTATTAATCTCTCTTAACACTTTACCAATAGTAGTTAGTAGTGCAATGGTTCTCTAATAGGAGGGCAGCGGGGACAACTAGAAGGATATCGTTCCGTGGACCACGGCCGCTGCGACAGTTCAGCACATAAAAACTGTATAGAATATTTGTTTTCAAATCGTACAGACTTGTAAAACAGCAGATGTTCTTTTATGAATAAAAACTAGCTGGAAGATAGTAATCAAAAATGAAATTTTTATGGATTCTATTTTTTTCTTCTATTTTTTTCGTGCAAAATATCAATTAAAAAATTATTATGAAAATACTTGTATGGCTTTTTATCGTATCATTTTGCGTCACTGTGATAAACTCCCTTTTTGTTGACAACCAGCACGTTGTTTTGCTGATATTCCGTTTTCTAAATATATACCACTGCAATCTCTACCCAGAGTTGTCGTATGGAGTGCAAGGACCGTAACTCTGCGTGGAGATTGATACCACTGCAGATAGTCTCGTTCAACCAGACTCTTGTTGTCTGCGCAACCGTCTGATTGAACGAGACTACACTGCCGACACAATAATTTTTCGACCATTCAGAACTAGAGCAGTGTAGCCGATAAAGTTAGGTCAAGCGAATTTACGTCTTTAACCGGAAAGTATCAAATATTTAAGTATTCTACAGTTAGATATAAGTTTTAAATCTAACAAAAATGTAACGTTTGTTCGAGATTCGGCAAACGAGAACTTGTTTCGAGATCAAGGTGGCAGAGACTACAGCGCGTGCGACTGGCGGCCATGTTAAGACAAGTTTATCTTTATTTTTCTTACAAACGTGTTACCTATAGGGAGCTTCGCCCTTCGGGCCCGTGAGGGAGCTCCGCCCTTTATTAAGCACATTACATCTGTTTCCTGATTTAATTTATGAATCAGGAATGGGGCCATATCTTGTCTTGTCCTGTACTTGAAGGTCCCTCCTTTAGTAGGACCACTCCTAGCTGGATAGGTTACACTTATGTTTTCGTATTTTCTTATTGATGTGAGTGTCAACTGTACAATACATAATTATTTTCTATCCCGATCGTAATCTTCACATTACTTACCTATTACATATTCATTAACCCATTTGAGTTGAAATAGTTTCCCTACTTTCAGAAAGGTTTAGCCAACATTGACAAAACTAAAGAGTTGTCTACCTTTACACAGACAGTCTGGACAAGATCCCGCAGGGGCTGCGGTAATCTCAAAACCGGAGGTACAAGTGGCGACACACTGCAAAACGTTCTGACAGCTCTTTAGAATCTGCGAAAAGCTCCACTTCTGAACTGAATTACATGAAAACAAATACCATCTAAATCAACAAACGGAACTACAAACATAATGAAAAAGAGACATTGTGTCGCCCATGCAGAATGAAAATGAACGACTCCTCCATTGCTTTAGCTGTTCAAGCGATCCTATAGGAAGTAATGAAATAGTATGAGATGGATGGATGATGATAAGAACTATTTATATTCTCAACAATTCACATCGTGGCTCTCTAACATATCAGTGTGACGTCATAGATTTTCAGCAACTCACATCGAGACTCTCTAACAATATACAGTGTGACGTCAAAACGAAGTTTAATGAAATACTGCTTAACTAGACAGCAAACTGATTAGTGGATCTTCGAAATCGTAAATTATCTAGTTGGTATGCGTATAAGTTAACACACAGAAAAGAATTGTTAACAGTATATATAAAAATTTAAAACCTATCAAAGTCGTTTTCAAATAACAATTTTTATGTCATTACCTGAGTGTTGAACAACATGGCCGAAATTTTCCGTTCCCGCTGATGTACTAACTGTTCCAATCGTAGATAGATGTCCTAAAATAGATTTTTATGTATCAAATTGTTGTCAGTCACTCTTGAACAGAAGAACAGAAAACTATCGTTACTTCAATCAGTATCATTCCAAACGTGTATAGCCGATTTGAGAAGGTTTAACATTAACAGGTGTACGTGTAAGAGGTCTTAGTACATGTGTATATGTGATGGTGTCGGAACACAACCTCCGAGGGCTGGAGACGGAGGGGGCAGCAGTTTGCATACATCGAAATCGACCTGTAATGTAGATCACACATTAACGAAGGAAATAGTTTCAAACAGCTACAGAAAGTATTGCATGTTTACTCTCAGATAATGTACGAGCACGGTACTGGCCGCGTTTCCGTAACACAAACAATCAAGTACGTGACGTCAACGCCGTACTAGAATCCTGGTATATGGGTTTTGTGCAATTACATACTCTCCACCACGACACAACTTTAATTTCGTGTTAATATGTGTTATAGTGATGAACATAATTAGAAAAAGCGGTTCACAATTATAGTTGATGTAAGGGTCATAATAATAAGATTTGCAAGGGCAAAGTTTAACTGTTTCAAAATGACGTCGTAGCTGTGACGTCACAATGGAAATTGTTAACATTTAGAAAATACTTGAGTGTTTCATATTGTCCAGTATTATATATAATACACACCTGTTACAGGCTCGAGACATTGGCACGAGGGACAGCCATTATGTCCAGTCTGGTAGCCAAACGGGCACCTGTTGATGCACGTGAAGTGAGCACTACACACGAGGGAGGCCGTCAGGTAGGTCGACGTGAGACTAGCACCTACCTCTGAAATATAATACCAAACAGCACATGGTATGGTGAGGAATTTAACGTCTTCACGAAAACAAATGTACTGCATAGGGCCCTGGCACTATATAGCCGTATAAATAGAAGGGTTAGTCAGTGAGGCGGGGCTCTGTTGTCTATGTAGCTGGACATATTGTACATAACTGAGGCCAAATGTTTGTAAATGTGTGCCTAAATATGAAATGGTCACAGCAATACGCAACCATTTCGTTGTAATCACCACAGATTGTCATGGTAATTGACATGTAATTATCACCAATTTGTCTTGCCACTGTGCCAATGATGAAAATTGTAACGTCTTACATATCAAACATTTAAACATTCATGAAATCATTATATATATATGTGTTCATTTCTGCAGCGAGTCTGTGTAAATATTACCAGATAATTCGCATTCATTTGACTATGAACGCAAACAAATCAATGTCATTTTGACGTTTTTCCTCATGCATTCCATTTAGATGACGTTATGCTGTTCCATGAATATCGTTTGCACTGACTGTAAAGATACGGCATACTGCAAATAGCGCGAAAAACATTATTTCAAGATCAGAATTTAAGAACGGAAATATAAGCTGATAAAGGATATTTTTTACTTTCATGCCTGTATGAACGCATATCGGGTTCATCGATCCCTATTTTCGATTTTACGTTTAAAGCAGCATGATTGTTAAATCGTATATAATGGTTGTGCGTACTTCAACTTCTAATATAGAGATGTAGTTTGCACAATTGCAATTTTGCGGGTCACTGTGTGCTAAGCGGTATTGTGTGGTCTCAACGTAAAGCCTCCTTCGAGACTAATTCAATATAAGGAAACGTCTACGTCATTACCTGCTGGTCTGATACATTCACAGACGGGACAGCCATCGGTACCACATTTGTACCCCACCTTACAGCCACGTGGACAGGAGAGGGGCGTGGCACATTCCACGTTTGATACCGTCACTAGAACGGAAAAACGAACGACTTCAGCAATGGCGACACGTGCCTATTTGTCCTACTGGTATTGGCTAGCTGTCCAAATTTGACCTATTTTTTTGGAAATTGTCGCGTGTTCAGGTTACGAACTTGTCCCTTATTTATATACTTTATTTCGTTGTTTATTAATTATTCTATCTAAACGCACGTGCCTATGCGACATTTCTGACAATGTAACGAAAAAGAATTTAAAGAGTCCAACTCGATCCTTTCAATTTCTCATTTTACGCCTTTTAAATACTATCAGTCAGGAATCGTATAGATGCACAATTGAAAATAAACCACAATGAAAGAGTCGAACTCGTTACCTATCAATTTCTAAGTCTACACCTACCCATTTTTGTAACTTTAAGAATCATAAAAGCATAGTATCAAAATGAGAGTTGAATCCCTAGCAAGGGGAAATAAATATATGCCAGAAACAATAGTTTATGTTGAATTGTCCCCTACACAAATACAAGGGAGAACAGCTCCGAGGTGGAACTCTTTATCACGGTAATAACTGATGCAGTGGCACCATTTATCTTAACGTGTCACATGCAAAAGTCTCGAACTAACCTGTGTTACAAGTGCAAATGGGACACGCCTCTCCTGGTCTCGTGACCATGGAATAACCATGACTACACGATGTCATGCAGTGTACGGCGGCCGGACAGTTCTGTAAGACGGAATAAACACCCGGTCTGGTGGTGGGGGCAGGCGTGGTTGGCGCTGAATATATATATATATATTCGAATAGCTTCATGTATTTTATTAATGTGTGAATCAAACGTTTCTGGCAATAAGATACTCTCCCTATAATGATAATAGTACGTATGACGTAGTTAATATACGAAAACAATGATTCAAGTTAGGTATATTTTTCAACGGAGGAGTAATGGGAAGACGATGAAGTAATGCACTGTATTGCATCGTGAAAAATGTATTATGAAAATAACAAAGTGTAAACAATCAATAACTTAAACTATTGGTAAACACCAGGTTGCACAGCGCCTTTAGATAAAGTTATATGTATTTTTTTCTGCATGGGAATACCCAAAATGTACTAAATACACAACATTACTTATACGAGGCATTTACAAATGTCGTGTTACGTACAAACCTAATCACGTGACACTGTAGAGTTACGTAGATACTCACCTGGCAAACATTTACAGACTGGACATTGTGACGTCGCAGCGTTCTGAATGTTATACCCGTATCTACATCTTGTCATGCAGGCGAGAGTTGTGACGTCACAAGATGACTGAACAGGAGCCTCTGTTGGGGCGGGTGTAGGGGCTGCAATAATACTGCACAAATTATTGGTAGGATCAATTGTTATTACAACAAGAAAATATTTCGTAAATAAAACTAATCCTGCGGTGTTAAAACCAATGTAGACAAGTAATATCCTGTAGGTGTGGTTACAATTTTGTATTACTCAAAGAGGGGCGCCACAAATAGATCAGGAAAATCTGCAATGTCGTCAATTTCGTAGGTTTGATGAAAACAATTTATTGTGAAACATGATCAAAATGTGTCCAATTTGCGATTAAATTATGAACAAAATAGCGAGTTTTTCTTGAACTGTCAAGCATCGTCAATGAAATTGTCCAGAGAAATTATGGATTGTACAGAGTTATCCAGAGTGATCCACGGAACGATCAAAAGTTATCCACATAACGGTATAGCGTCGATAAATGAACGGTTAAGAGTCACCAAACGGACGGTCAAGTGTCACTAAAGCGACGGTATATAGTCAACAACGGGACGGTATACTGAAACAAAATGAACGATCAACTACATTAAATGGACGGTAAGGTGTCACCAACTCAAATGTTTAGAGTCAACAAAGGAACGGTCTAGTGTAATCAAAGGAACGGTCTATTGTAATCAAAGGAACGGTCTAGTGTAATCAAAGGAACGGTCTAGTGTAATCAAAGGAACGGTATAGTCAAATGTCCGTCAAGGAACGGTCAAAGGTGATCCAAGGGAAGGTCAAGTTTTATTCAGGGAACGTTAAGGTGTCATCAATAGAATAGTCTCAAAACGTGAACACAGTAACTGCCCTCGTCACGTTAAGCTACAAGTATGGCGTCATGGCTATCTTACGTTGATGGCATACACACGACGGACAGCCATCTTGGTCTTTCGAGTTGCCGACCTCATATCCTGTTTTGCAGTTCAAAATGCATTGGACAACCTTATTGCAAAGGTTCTGTTGTGGTCTGGTCTCTTAAATTAAAAAAGGTCAAATAGTAACTTGATTTAAAGAACACACAAAATGCAATAGAAGAATCGAATAATTAACCACCAGCTCCAATATTTCATACATAAGAAAACGATAGATCACCAATCACAAAAATAAAAGAATCAAGTAGAAATATTTCTGTCCAATAATTATAAACTGTGAATAACCGTATATCATCTTATTTTCATATATGCCGTAAACGCACGTTTTTAAACACTTTGCGCTAAATTATGATTGCACTAAATAATGTTTCTTTATTTTATTTCATATTCCGTTGTTACACCAGTTCATCAACGCATTTAACTATGAACATTATTTAATTAGATAACATTTGAACGCACAAAAAAAGAAACTACGCTTGTATTTTATTTCTATGTCTTTCGGGAAGTCATGTACCTTCTTTCATAACGCATGCGCACGAGTGACATCCGTCTGATCCAGCTGGTCCGAGTTTGACTGTGTACTTGCACGTTTGTACACAGAGGTCGGTGTTAGGACATCTCGTCCCCGTTGGAGCCCCAGTTACTGTGGGTATTTTGGAAAGCAATGTTTCACCTGTGTCAAAAGTGTAGTGAGTTATTGATATCGCTTACAAATATATTAAACTCCATAAAATCATTATCGATGTCGACGTTCCCGCAGCATAGTGAACAAGAACAATTTACAAAAATCAGTATCGTAAATTCACTCTTCTTGTATATCTTATTAAAATCTTTTAATTAGATTTGTCATTTCAAATTCATATCAATCACTTTACAAATTTCACAAAGTTTTAATTGTAAAGCTAACCATTTGTGGCTGAGCAAGCCGGTCCTGTACATTTAGATCCACTTCCGGTTCCCCCTACAGCTCCACCTCCCGTCATGCCTAGCGACAATATGGGACATAACTTGACTGAATGAACATTGTATTTTGTTGTATTATACATTATCTTGATGCTTTATCGACTTTTTCTTCTTCCGGAAGCCGTTTATTCTGTCTTGTTTGATTCTGATATAGAGCTTACGAAGACGAGGTCATTTACATTTTCCATATCAACATAAATCTGTTCATCTTTTCCTATAACACAGCTTGCTGTATCCGAATCTATCATCTAAGTTTATCGATACAGAAGGAATACTCAACACTGATATGTATGAAAACTATCATTCTTTTTCCATACAATGTCATATATACTCTATGTTGTGACATTTGTATTAGTAGGATTGAACAGACATAGCCGCTTTGGCACGTATTATCCCGTCGACATGATACGCAGATCCAGTAATGAGAAGAAAAGGAATGCGAGATTCGTATTATCTTAATTTTACTACACCTATGATTTCATCAATACATCTACAGATGTCTGATAGCTATAGTGTATTTTCAATTAAAAACACTGCGGATGCGTTGTCCACTGCACCAACCGACTACCCAATGACTTTAATTAGCCAATCAAAAATCACCAATAGAGTGAAAACAGCCCGCTTATTAGTACGGCAGTTGTATTGATACAACCGTACGAAATTGTGGAAGTTGAATTGAAAAGAAATATTTATGGGCATACACGTATATTACATCGTTGGGACAATTATCATTATTCCAATGACTATTCTGTCATTTGTACTTATGATGACAGCGAGTCATAGTTCTTTTTTCATGGTAAATGGGGAAAAAATAGAATTGTCAATTGCAAAGTGATTAGCATGTTGTATTCAGATTAAGATATGAATAAATTGTGACCAAATCGTTAAAAAATATTACTCCGAAAAAATACCTCCGGTATTACTTCCACCAGACCCGCCCATTCCACCAGAGTTACTTCCGGTAGAGAACGGACTCGGCATGCCTGCACCGGAAGAAGATCCAGTGGCGGATCCCGTCCCTGAACCGAAACAAAACATAATCTACCCGCCATATTGTCTGTGGGTAACAGGCTTGATCGTATCCCAGAATGAGTGCCGTTTGTATACTTTTTTAAAAATTAGGTTTAGAATCAAGAGCATTTATATTTGGATTTTTGTTTTTTGAGAAGAAAGAGAAGAACGGGAACGTGAAATTCAGATTATTTGTTCTTGTCAATAACGTCTCAGTTTTGGGAAGTGACATTATACCTATAATCTTTATTTCTTGCAGTAGACATTATTGTCTTTGTGCTACAAACATTGAATGTTGTCAGAACTAATTTTGTACCACTACCATATTGCAAATATTGGGAATGATTCCCAATATTTGCAATATGGTAGTGGTACAAAATTAGTTCTGACAAGTTTACAACAGGAAGCCTTAATACAATCTATACATATTATTTTCACATGGTCACAACAGCATTTAAAGAAGTGTTACATCATTGTGAGCGAAAGGATACACTGACATCTTGTAATGTAATTTTAATTTAATAATAATCCGTTTTTAATTTCATTTGCTTTAGAAATATACATGGCTAAATTTTGAATTACAGTTGGTTTTGTTCTCCGATGAAATAAGTTTTTCAATATTTGATCGGTAAAAACATCTCCTGTATAAATAGTTTGACCTAATTTCAAAGTATAATGGGCATTCCTTAATAAAAACGTATTCCTCCTCAACTTGAGCACATATGATACAGACCCGGAAATCTGGAGGTATGGGATTAGGTCTATGCCATCTTCCCGCCTCTATATTGAATCTAGGTGAAGATACTCGTAAACTAGTTAAAGAATTTTGAAACTTTTTAATATTGACCATATCAAGGTTCTTCTTGTAACCGATTTTTTGTGGGAATATATAGGTAGTACATAACATCTGACTCTGGACGATTCACTAAAAATCACTAACTCTTGTTTGAAACAATACTAAAAAAACCATCAAAGTCACAGACTCACTGTTCAAGCCATACATAACCAAAACGTTGAGTACATAATAGTTTTTTTTAGCTCATTTTGCCCAATTTATCATACGTGAAGTCTCTGTTTGCGTGTAAAGCTCACTATAGACAGGCTTAACAAATACACTTTTCTGGTTGTGAATAATTTCTAACCAACATTTAATCATTTTTGTACATCCGAGTTCCCTACTAATGAAATTATTTTGGGTAGACGACTTTACCCCTAATTAACGCTTACAAAATTTTAAATGCAATTTTTCAATCGCTGTTGCAGAATGAAATCCCCACACCTCGCACCCGTAGAATAACACAGGACAGACTAACTTATCAAATAATCCAGACACATGTTTAGGTGATATATTAATACATGTCATACATGCTCGATGTCATGACATTTGTATTAGTTGGATTGAACATACATAGCCGTTTTGGCAAGTATTATCCCGTCAACATAGTCGCTCCAACACGAACTACATTTTACGACATCTCAGTATTGCAACAGAATGTTTATTTTTGTATTTTTTGTCAAAAAATGAGAATGAGAGATTCGTATAATCTTAATTTTAAAAACTGATGTTATAATTACTGGCTAGGATTTCATCAATACAACTACAGATGTCTGATAGCTATAGTGTACTTTCAATTCAAAACACTGCGAATGCGCTGTCCATTGCACCACCCGACCACCCAATGAATTTAATTAGCCAATACAAAAAACAACAATAGAGAAAAAACAGCCCGCTTTCAGTTATATGCATTCATTCATACGAAATTGTGGAAATTAAATTGATAAGAAATATTTATGGACCTACACGTAGATTACATCGCTGTGACATTTATCATTATTCCACTGGTAAGTCTGCCATTTGTAGTTATGCTGATAGAGAGCAATAGTGTTTGTTTCATGGTAAATGAGAAAAAGAATCAGAGAAAAATATTTATTTAAGTGTCAATTGCAAAGTGACTATCATGTTATATTTAGATTAAGATATGAATAAATTTTGACCAAAGTGTTAACAAATATTATTCCAAACAAAATAATGGGTAAGTACCTCCACTATTACTTCCACCAGACCCGCCCATTCCACCAGAGTTACTTCCGCTTCCGGTAGAGAACGGACTCGGCATGCCAGCACCGGAAGAAGATCCAGTGGCGGATCCTGTCCCTGAACCGAAACAAAACATAATAGAAGATCTACCCGGCAAATTTTCTGTGGGGAACAGGCTTGATTGTATCCCAGAATGAGTGCCGTTTGTATAATTTCTTTAATTAGTTTTAGAATCAAAAGAATTTATATTTGGATTTTGGTGTTTTCAGCAGAAAGAGAAGAGCGGGAACGTAAAATTCAGATTAGCTGTTCCCATTTATAACGTCTCAGATTTGGGAAGTGGCATTATACATTATACCTATGACCGTATTAACCAATAACGACATTATTAAGGATCACAATGTGTTTGTTAAGTTTGACTTTGATTCCGTATGGCATAAATGCTTTTCAAAGATCAATGCTGAAGTATTTACACCTCTTTGACATTCAAGTATACAGCCTACCAAATTCAGATAGCATTCTTTCGTATATGAATGTCTTGGTTCATCTTATCTAACACTCATCAATTTTCTTCTATACCTGAATTCTGAGAGGAAGTTGATGAACAAAACGGACCGGAACATCCACTTCCGGATCCGCTAGACCCGTCTCCGCCTCCTCCCCCACCCATACCCATTCCACTTCCGCCGTCTGCCGTCATACCAGCTCCAGGAAACATCGGGTTGAACCCTTGTCGTATTTGATAAGAAAGATAATTGAAATCAAAGAAAAAAGACAGTTTAACTGTAATTTTTATTACTAATAAATCTAAACAATGATTCAGTGTTTGCTCAAATGTTTACAGTTTTAAGATGTAAATTGATTTTTTTTTATAATATTGTTTAACAAGTCATGATAAAAATACTTCATTGAAAAATCTATGTATTGAAATGACGAATTTATTCATATAATGATTACAATAAACCAATCATTTGAAAAAATATAACAGAGAAGACATCCTATATGTTTATATTCTACCATCGCTACCAATAAAATAACGTAAGTATCATACAAAGAAAGTTCGAATAGACATAACCTGTTGTTCAATCCGTTAGATGAAATAACTTAATAATGTGAAAATGTTGGAAACTCAATTGACATGAAATATTAGGAACACAACCACAAGTTATAACCTAAGCACTTTCGATCTGCCGTCTGTATTTGGGAAAACCGAGAGCAGATATGACAGACTTTGGTAATGGGATTGTAGCACATTTTCATATTGTAACAGATTTAATCTTATTGGCATCAATTTAATTCTTGCATTATTTCTTTGAGATTTGTTTTATAACTGTGCCTTCCAACACCCCGAACTCCTACCCCAAAAAATGACAATTGAATAATTATTGCAATTTTTTCCATTTCAAAATCAAATTGAGATATATTTAAATAAACAGATAGAGCAATGTATTTCCAACCCTAAAACATACACGGTAAATAAAACAAATCACACAAAAATTGTAAACAGTTTCAAACATCAATTGTAAAATGACAGTAGAATAAGGCTTAACTTATAACGTAACAAATATGAGCTCAATTTTATTGCATTGTTCAAACGTTCATTTATAGAAAAGCTACCGTGTTGTAAATGATCCTTAAAATATATTAGAAGAGTACCTCCACTATTACTTCCACCAGATCCGCCCATTCCACCCGAGCCACTTCCGCTTCCGGTAGAGAATGGACTCGGCATGCCGGCCCCGGAAGCGGATGCAGTGCCTGATCCTGAACCGGAACCAAACGAACCGGAAGACCCGCCCGGCATTTTGCCGATGTGGAAAGGACTTGATTGTATCCCAGAATTAGTGTCGTTTTTAGAATCTTTAAAGTTCGTATTAGAATCTGAAAATTAATGTAAGTTATACTGTAAGGTTAATTTGATCCAACTGTACTGTACAATCAATAGAAGAAACATTTTGTTGAGACGAAACAAATGATATCGTTTATTAAAAAAAACCGAACTATTTTACTATTTTCGTTAAATATTATTTGACTCAGCGCCAAGGTCTTTGTTATACATTGAAAATATATTTTGATACTGATCAATATCAACGTATCCGATAAACTTGAAAATCTAAAGGAAAATTGTTTTTGTAAGTACTATGTAAAGATAGGAATTGATATACAACTTTCTTGTTGCAACCTTTATTTTTTTAAGACAAAAAAAATATAAAATTGATATAAAAATACTACATGTATTTTGATTATGTTACACGTGTTTTAAAATGTTTAAAATAATGCACAATAAAATATTACATAGCGATCCTGTACCGGAACCGGAACCGGAACCAAACATTAAAGACGATCCACCCGGCATATTGTCCGTGTGGGATGGACTTGATTGTCCACCGGAGTTAGCGCCGTTTTTAGGTTTGTCGGGGTTTGTATTAGAGTCTGAAAGTTTATAAAATATTGTTGTTAATTTGTAAAGAAAATTACATGTGATATCTTGTCTCCATTTCACTTCCGCTCGGGTATAACGGTCTCACAGCTGGGTCTGGACATTACTCATGACCAGTTAGTTTTATCGATTAGAGCGACAGAATAACAATATGGAGTCAAGAAATCCAATCCCGGTCTAGCCCCACTCATTTTTACACCATGAACACTTTTGTTGGTTATATTTTATTTACTAAGTTCTTATTATTTCTCAGCAAAGTCCTACAGTGGGATGGGTTTCTTTTCAGAAATGATTTATCAAAGCTACAGTAATACCGAAAAAACCCATTGTTCATTACTTAGTTATTTCCTGGCAGTTGAAAGACGAAAGACGAAATTAGAAAACGAATTGTTGACATAAAGGTAGTTGACATATTCACATCATTTTAGACAATGTAAAACATCAGGGTCTGTATTCACGAAACCGTTATCTTGCTCACGCACGGCTTCTGTGCTCAAACCAGATTTCTTGTAACTCACTTAAATAAGGCAAAACAGTCAAAACGTCAAATGTAAACATTGAAAACAGAATTCGGCTTCACGTCTCTTCATTCTTTTTCAAATCATTGAATTTTATTGTTGATCATTCATATATAACTGAAACAAGAAATTAGACTTGAGCAGGAGAACGGTTTCGGTTTCATGAATATGGGCCCAGTCGTTCACTACGAAAACACAAGGTAACACGGTTTTAAGGGAGTGGGGGAGGGTTAAAAACTTCTTCAAAAACTCATAAGAGCCCTATGATTGAAGGGAGGTTGGGAGGTTACTCAATAATTGTGCAGCTAGTTTGTTAAAACATCGGGTTTCCATACTTAATTCTTATATGAGTAACTTTGTAAATGGATACTACGTCTTCCATTATCTCCTGTTTAGAAACTCTATCGATTACGAATTACAAACCTTTCGATTCATTTTTGGAACAACTACACGTCTGACAGCCATCTTGTCCTTTTGGTCCAAGTTTATACCCCGTTTTACACGACAACATGCAGATTATGGTTGCTATGCAATCTGTCGTCTGCTTCCCCTTGTCCGGGCTTGTGCTCATCTGTGTCACATGGCCGGAAGTGACAGGGACACCCATGCCGTTTGCTGTAATTTACGTTTTAAAAGAAGAAAACAATGTTTATAAAACTCAGTGATATACTATATATATCCATATGTTTATTGTTCATTGAAAATTAGGAAGGTCATTCAAAAATGCTACAAATATATTTATGAAAAAAAGATAGCCATGTCTGTTTTGATCAAATAAAAGAGGTCCCGTGTTTCCAATAGTGATAGTTAATGTTAGAAGGAAGACTTATGAAGACAAGTTTAAGCTACCCTCTACAAAAAAAATAGAATGCGCTGTGTCATGCAGCATGCTATTTTCATTGTCTTCAGTATTTTTTATTAAAGCTATGACCGTATTGCTACCACAGCAAGTATCTGGTCATTTGAAAGGACACAATTCATCGCTTTGAGAACGAGCAGAATTTGTTTCTGTTCATTGAAAGTTACATGTTTCTTAAAGTAATGATGAATATATTAAATACTTGAATGAATTGGTGGTAACATTATGGTAAGATTTCTGTCATACTGGAGTGTATCAATAACTTTACAAATCAGATGTACTCGACCAGTAAAGTTCTATGAAATGTTGTACTACCAGGGCCACAGGGACAGGACTTGCATCCATTTTTATCCTCTACCAGGCAGTAGACCGGACAGACGATGTCTCCCTTTATACATGTATACGTCATATGTGAGCCTCTGTGGAAAAATTGACTCGGCCACGACAGAGGTCCGTTGCGACTTCCCAGACCCATCATACTTCCGGTTCCAGCAACCATGGCCATCATTGGACGGCCAGCACTCATACTCATAACTGAATGGGAGTACGGTGTTTCGTACAAGTTATTGCCCTGGTTAAATGGACTGTTACTGGAACCATCTGATAACGAAAGAGAAAGTTAGGTTACACGTACAAGAAAGTTTTAGGGGGCTGATTACGACAGATCATATAGGGTTCACGGACATATTACAGTTGTATATATACATCTAATTGCATAAAACGATACACAAAAAGGAAATTATACAAATATAAAACAGCAGAATGATAACATAATAAATGATAACAAACATATTCATACATATTTTGAAATATAAGCGTTTATAATTATAACTTTTTGTATTATCTCGTATCCAATGGTCCCGGTTTTCCCTGATATATATTTAGAATACGTTGGTAAACGTAGTATAGTTTCTCTATTTTCACCGATATATAGTTGCAAATAATATCTTCTATATATAAATATTGGTATCATATCAGAGTTTGCAATAAAATGTGGTATTTATGGTAATTTGTAAGAATTACGAGAAGTAGTTCCCCAACGAGCGGTGGTTGGATATACTGTAGCATGTTTATCTAACTTTGAGTAATTTTGTATACAAATCATGAAAAACAGCCTTCAAGAAGTCTAACTTGAGAGCCCTTTCCCGAGTAACATTCATACTGCAAACAAAGAAAAAAAAATACTATTGTTTCCGATCGGGGAAACTACCGTTATTTTTGACGTCACGACTGGTTAATGATATCACGACCGGACTGTTAACCACGTGTGTAAAAGGAAATGTTAACCGTCTTCTCGCGTGAAACATTGTAGTTTCAGGAGCAACTTGGGTTGTGCTATCTGTCATAAACCTCGATATCATGCCCGACGTTTCTGTAAGGCAAACTTCTATATTATGCCCGACGTTTATTTAAAGACAAACTTCGATATCATGCCCGACGTTTGAGTAAAGACAAACTTCGATATCATGCCCGACGTTTGAGTAAAGACAAACTTCGATATCATGCCCGACGTTTATGTAAAGACAAACTTCGATATCATGCCCGACGTTTATGTAAAGACAAACTTCGATATCATGCCCGACGTTTAAGTAAAGACAAACTTCGATATCATGCCCTAGTTCAATTTTCTACTTCCCTTTCCACTGACATATTTCAAAACCCTGTTATTGCTCAGTACGTTTCTGTCAGTGGAGCGCCAAACCCCTTTTCAAATGTCAATTCTGTACCGATGAACTTGTGGCAATAAAGCGGAGTTTTATTTTACTCTAAAAGTATAATCTAATAAGAAACGATTCAAATGTTAGTTGATACTAAAGTATTTTCAAAGCGAAGAAATGACGTAATCAATAGTTCGTTTTCTGTCCTCAATAAATCACATGTAAACAAATAAAAAATTGAAGTAAGGATAGCACTTGGACGTTCCTCTTCCTTTCAAACCTGTGTGACATACTTAATACTGTCTGGTTTACAGTCTTTAGGCAAGGGCGGATAACTCTTGTAACCCTGTGCGTCTAACCGGAAACAAAAGAAGCTCATTAACTTCCGGAACCGTAACTATACAAAACGAGCCCATATTTCCGGCACCAGGAGCGCGTAACAATACCGACTCTAAGCTTAAATGATTTGAACATTGCCGTTTTAATTTGTACATACGACACAAAATCTCTAGAAATTTTTACAGAACCGATAACCAAAAACTCGAGATTTTATCCAAGTGCGAGCAGTATGCAGGATCCGTTCCCTCGTGGTTTTTGGACTGTCAGATAGTCATTTTCATAAAAAAAAAGTTGTTTAGCAGCTTTGCTGCATTTTCTTGTTTACAATTGTTTTTTCCACATGCACATTTACGCTTAAAATGGTGTTGTTGTCCTCACAATATCTTCTTGTAACTCGATATTTATTTGTTTATGACTACATATTTCTTTACACGGATCACTTTTGTATGGATAATACGTCCGGTTTAGGACGTCACCTCGTGAAAGCAGAAGTTCTTGTTTAAGAAAATAATTTATGGGGACCATTCCGAGAATTGAGGGGGTAAAAAGGGAGACAACAATCACGGGCGCGTTTTTGCAAAACCACATGCTATTTTTTGAAAGTTTCTTCATCTTTGTGCGTTTGATGCCCCACTTTACCCCCTCATATCTCGGGAAGGTCCCCAAGCTGACCTTAATTACATGTAATATTCATGATGGCATAACCCCAAGGTATGTATATACAAAAAATAAAACTTATCGGTGATAGCCACCAGAAGGCCCAAATTGGCACCGCCCGATATTTTGGGCATTTCTTCGATTTTATTACACCTGATCTATTATTCTTCATTCCGGTTTTTCATTTTTGGGAGTAGCGAAAAAATACTCAACCATCAAAATAATCCTTATACCAAACCTCTGAGTCCGAGAACTAATACGCAACGTAAACTGTAATGAGAGGGACGAGGTTAATGGTTTACTTACTTACTGTTTAGTGTTTAATCTACATGCGCGCCATCAAATATGCCCGTGAAAATATAACATTTAAACGTATACATGTACGAACCAGTCGTTCCCCGTAAATGATAGGCGTTAATTAGTTCACTTACCTTGTAGTAGCACGTAATGCCAGGTATCCATGGCAATGGTCAGAAACAGGATCACCGACGTAAGTTTCAACATAGCGAAGATACAGGTAGTAGTGGCCAAGAAATTGTCTCGATACATCCAGTTCCCAAAATACGGTGATAACCAATTACAGCATCATTTATAAATATTGTTAAACTCTCAGCAAAGTTCGTAAAAAAGTGGTGAAATATTCTTTGTTCAAATGTTTGTAAACTAAAACTGTATCTTAAACGCACAGGGCTGTGCTGTACTTTGAATGTTGATATAAATATTTCATAAATTTACTACTGAATTATCGCCCCGTATATATGTTGCCTCTTTCTGTAATGATATCAAGATTACGCTTAAGGTTATCATTCCAATTTTACTGTTGACATGCACGAAGTGGGGCTCACAAAGGGTGAGTTATTACCCGGCCCACACACCAGGTGTTTTATTATCGCGGGGAGAGTGCTACACCTGTCGATGGCGATACAATAGGGGACGCTCTTACATTAAATAAGATATCCACCGATATCTGCGCACTGTGTCTGTTAGTAACCTACCATTCAGCAATACTGGGCATCAAGTAACACGGGGAACGACTGAAAATAGGACACTTCATCTACGTTTCTTTACATCTTAACATCTCAAATTATTTTTACATTTTCAGTTTAATATTTAATGCTTTTTGAATTAATTTGTACGCTGCCCATATTTTGTATATAATATTTTTTGTGAATATCTTTGCGTGCCATTTACGCTGATTATAATATTATTTTCCTGTATGTGAATTTCTTATGCATAACTTATGCATGTGCTGCTTGACCAATGATTGTGCGAACTTTCGCAGAAAAATTCACATTACACAAAATCTTTGCAACGGACATTTAAAAAGGATTGTGGATAACTCGAGTAATGGAAAAGATAAGCACAGTAAAGAAAATAAATTAACGATGGTGAGTATGGGATAGACAAGTGAAAGTACAGAAGAAAGAGGGAAACACTATCGAAAAGAGAAGAAACGTGAGAAAAGAGGAACGAAAAACCTGATTTATTCCACTTCTGTTAACTGTTTTAAACGAGTTTATCAACTTCCATTAATAACTGATGTTGGCTCGGGAGAATACCCACGTGGTCGGGCAGGTGATTCCATATCGTCGCTTGTCAAATTTGGGAATAGAACACCGTTCGTCATGGTAAAATGCGCTCTCCACTTGGAAAAATCGATCATAATATTTTGATGTCAACTCCTGTTCAAACTTACCGATCAATTTAAAGCTACTGATTGAAGAATTGAGTTAGTCATTTCGTTTAACTGATAGTGAAAAACGATCAATTTATTTTGCTTATATATGTATATCTGATAGAATAAAATAGACACAATCTAGTTTAGTTTTAACATATTTATTGCCATAATTAGACAAGGGATTAGGCACAAGTTATAACAACTTATCAACGCCTTCTCCCAATATACATTTGAAATGACATTACGATAATGACAATAAATATATACAATTGTTGTTACAATTTAAACTCAAAATCTCTTGCTGGATTAAATAAAGATTTGCACAGATCTAAAAATGTTTGAGTTAAGGTCCACGGAAAACTGAATTGCCAAACAAAAGAATTTCTAAATTTAACGCAACATTCAAATTAATCAAATTTTGAACCAAAATACGTCTTTCGTTTGTAAAAAGGTGACATTCCATAAAATAGTGAAAGACATTCTCACAAGGATGACCACAATTACAAGATGCACTCTCCACAATCTAGTAAAAACTTCCGATAGTTTATTTTGTGATTCAATTTTTACAAATCTTTATAATTCAATTTTCTTTGATGTCATATCAAATACTCAAATCTGATTGTTCTATGAAAGGAAAAAAGGACATACTACGCTCCTCGGAACTACTTCCGCTATGTATTATTGGTTAGTATTTACATATCTTTATATACAATGTAATACACAATTAAAAGTATTCCGTTCAATATCCAATTAATTTGTAGGGTTGAATCGCGAACGGAGAAGCTGACCTCGACAACTAATGAAGAAACAATAAAAATCCTGTCCATGAACAAACATAACAATTATATAAACGATACTTAATTAGGTATAACAGTAGACAATGATAAACGATACTTAATTAGGTATAACAGTAGACAATGATAAACGATACTTAATTAGGTATAACAGTAGACAATGATAAACGATACTTAATTAGGTATAACAGTAGACAATGATAAACGATACTTAATTAGGTATAACAGTAGACAATGATAAACGATACTTAATTAGGTATAACAGTAGACAATGATAAACGATACTTAATTAGGTATAACAGTAGACAATGATAAACGATACTTAATTAGGTATAACAGTAGACAATGATAAACGATACTTAATTAGGTATAACAGTAGACAATGATAAACGATACTTAATTAGGTATAACAGTAGACAATGATAAACGATACTTAATTAGGTATAACAGTAGACAATGATAAACGATACTTAATTAGGTATAACAGTAGACAATGATAAACGATACTTAATTAGGTATAACAGTAGACAATGATAAACGATACTTAATTAGGTATAACAGTAGACAATGATAAACGATACTTAATTAGGTATAACAGTAGACAATGATAAACGATACTTAATTAGGTATAACAGTAGACAATGATAAACGATACTTAATTAGGTATAACAGTAGACAATGATAAACGATACTTAATTAGGTATAACAGTAGACAATGATAAACGATACTTAATTAGGTATAACAGTAGACAATGATAAACGATACTTAATTAGGTATAACAGTAGACAATGATAAACGATACTTAATTAGGTATAACAGTAGACAATGATAAACGATACTTAATTAGGTATAACAGTAGACAATGATAAACGATACTTAATTAGGTATAACAGTAGACAATGATAAACGATACTTAATTAGGTATAACAGTAGACAATGATAAACGATACTTAATTAGGTATAACAGTAGACAATGATAAACGATACTTAATTAGGTATAACAGTAGACAATGATAAACGATACTTAATTAGGTATAACAGTAGACAATGATAAACGATACTTAATTAGGTATAACAGTAGACAATGATAAACGATACTTAATTAGGTATAACAGTAGACAATGATAAACGATACTTAATTAGGTATAACAGTAGACAATGATAAACGATACTTAATTAGGTATAACAGTAGACAATGATAAACGATACTTAATTAGGTATAACAGTAGACAATGATAAACGATACTTAATTAGGTATAACAGTAGACAATGATAAACGATACTTAATTAGGTATAACAGTAGACAATGATAAACGATACTTAATTAGGTATAACAGTAGACAATGATAAACGATACTTAATTAGGTATAACAGTAGACAATGATAAACGATACTTAATTAGGTATAACAGTAGACAATGATAAACGATACTTAATTAGGTATAACAGTAGACAATGATAAACGATACTTAATTAGGTATAACAGTAGACAATGATAAACGATACTTAATTAGGTATAACAGTAGACAATGATAAACGATACTTAATTAGGTATAACAGTAGACAATGATAAACGATACTTAATTAGGTATAACAGTAGACAATGATAAACGATACATAATTAGGTATAACAGTAGACAATGATCAACGATACTTGATTAGGTATAACAGTAGACAATGATAAACGATACTTAATTAGGTATAACAGTAGACAATGATAAACGATACTTAATAAGGTATAAAAGTAGACCAGTAGACATTGATAAACGATACTTGATTAGGTATAACAGTAGACAATGCTAAACGATACCTAATTAGGTATAACAATAGACAATGATAAACGATACTTAATTAGGTATACCAGTAGACAATGATACTAGCGTTTGTCATATACTGAGTACTATATGCTGCATATTCACGTGACCCATATCAGACCGGCGGTTGGGACATGCATATCACATATCAGACCGGCGGTTGGGAAATGCATATCACATATTAGACAGGAAATGCATATCACATATCACTCTACAGGTTCAGAACACCCTCTAGAGTCATATGCGCACAGACTACCACTGATTTGTTTACATCAGATACGACGGTCACTGATGAGGTCAGGTAAAAAATACTGAAGGTGACATAATTCTAAATTCACTGGCTAATTGGATACTTGAGCTTGGTGACCTTAATAACACGAAAAATCTGTCTCGAGACAGAGAAGAAAAAACAACCTGCGGCACAACAACCCGAGCAGGGGGCACTCTATACTGAGATGTCATGTATTAAGTTTTTGTTTGATTGAATTTGTGTTGAATCTGCCTTTCAGTGTTGAAGTATATGATAAATAGAGTGAAATATGCCAAAGCGGGTTTCCAGCCCACGGTTTGATATTTGGTCCTCGAGCTGATAAGGCATGTGGATTTTACCATTTAATGTTCTCTATGTAAATATATAATATTTGAAATAACGACATGTTTTGTATATGGTTTATAAGGTATCGTTCATTGTCAACACTGGTTACTTAAGTTTGTTAGTGGAAAATAAGAACAGCATGCTTGACCATTCGTGTAAGTCCCGGCATGTTGAAAAGTCTGGCGTTTGATCTCACCGACATACTGCATCTGAACTTTTAAAATGGTCAGATATCAAATTGTCTGATGAACAGTAACTCTAAACACATAACGTATTTGTCGTGTACATAAACATGAAATTAAAATGTTTTTAATCTCTACGTATATATATATACACTGTACAAATTAATAAATCTACATACTGTAAAAGTGGAAATTTTCGCGATGAGGACATTCTCGCGTTTGTCGCGTTGAGTAAATGAGTGCGAAAATATCTACATGCAAATAGTTACTTGTGGATTATATAGCTAACAATCATATATGTTTCAGAATTATTGCCTACAGAAGAAAGTTAAACACCGCGATTAGTTTAAAGAGTCATAACGCGAAATTTTCCACTTTTTCAGTATATAATGGATATTTATGCAATGTTGCTTAAAACTGGATCTCGAAATCGAAACATAAATAAAACGGAGGGCACTACAAAATTAAACACATTAATTTATCGGCAGCTAAACCCCGAGGAACATAATACTAACCGAGAAGATCAAAACAGGCTCGTATCTCATTTCCGGTATGTTTGTCAACGGCTTTGAGTTCGACCTCTGATCCCCCGAAATACATCGTTACACGTGCTCCTCTGTCAAGACCCAACGATGTATCAGGCATATCCAACGTGATTGCTCCTATTTTCTGGCAACTTGCGTCTGTGATATACAATGGGTCAACAGACGTTGAGGCATACAGTCCAAAACACATACCTGTTTGACCTAAGGTAGCCACACTGAACGTATCAGTAAACGAAGATGTACCAATGTTTATGTGTGTGCCCTTTTTGACAAGTGATGAAAAACTGTTTTTACAACAGATTTCTCCACTTTCATCTATTACACGATAATCTTTTCTGTGTACTCCTTCTTTGAAACGCTTCCTGGAATCTGTTCCGTATGTGTATTTACATATCCGTTCTGACACAGTGTCCGGACAGTGACCGTTGATCACAGCTCCCTTTAGTACTGCTAGGTTCGCATCACTAGGGACGATCAGACGGATGCCTCCGGCGATGGTTCTGATGGCGTCCTGGAGAAGTGAACATTCGGAGTAGCCACCCACCATCAGGATAGCCTCACAATCCTTAACCTCCGGTTTACTGAGGATTTCGCAAACGTGTTCAGTGATGTGCTTGAACGATTGTTCAAACAAAGTAAGCGTTTTCTTTTGTGAAAGTCGCACTTTGTCCCGCTTCCATTCCACGTCTGTTGAACAGTGATAAACTTCAATGGCGTCAGCAATTTGTTTTCCTCGGTTGTACTTTCTGAATGATTTTAAAAGCGAACATGGAACAATTAACGTTGTTTTCGTTCCAATATCTTCACCTGTGAAGGTCTTCTTTTTTACCTCAAAATACCGTTGAAGGTCTATGGCACTCGGTATATCATTATCCTTGAAGTGTTGGAACGCTGCCTTCCCAACAATACTCTCCATGAATTCCTCGAAAGCTTCGTCCACCTTGGTCCCTCCCCAGTCTCCGCCATTTGCTGCGTAGATTTCTTTCAAAAATCCTCCCTTCAGCACTTCATGTACCGTGATATCTATGGTACCACCTATGCCATAGAAAATATATATGAAATCAAATGCTATGCAAAATGAACAAGAGATCAATTTGACCTGTATCGCTCACATGGTATTAATCTCACTCTTGCAACCTCAAAAGTGGTCATTAAAAATAAGTCAAGGTCATTCATTTGAACGAAGTTCCTTCATCCAAACATGCAACTGGCAAAATATCATCACTATGGACAATTTATCAGAGGAAATAACATGTCAATAGCTTAATATTAACATCCTTGGCATTTTGTTAATTCAGACGAACTTGTTTCAAGTTTTGAAATATATTTGACACCTGTGATCTTGAATAAAGGTCAAGCATATGCATTTGATCACATTTGATAGCCCTTTATACTAGCATAATACTTGATAAATATCTACACACTAGGCCTGTTGGTTATTCATAAGTAATTTAAATATTAAAAACTTATTTGACCCCTGTGGACTTTTACATAAGACAAGGTCACTGATTTGAACAAACTTGGTAGCCATTTATTTCCGCATGTAATTGGCCAGTTATCGTCATGTGGACTTTTACGGCGGCAGAAGAAGAAGAAGAAGAAGAAGAAGAAGAAGAAGAAGAAGAAGAAGAAGAAGAAGAAAAAGAAGAGTAAAAAAAATAAGTCCCCCACTTTATTTTGGGGACTTAATAAGAGGAGATAAAGGAAAACTGTGTATAAGTGATCAGGATCTACATTATATTGCTTCGTCATACTATAATTATGTAACATTTAAGCACTAACGACTAACGATAGCGCGGATCTGTCAATGTCATTGTGAGGCATCCAGCACAGCATTCCGCTTTTTATCAAATAATACTATTTTGCCATTTTCATAAGGACTGAACGCTAAGTAGGTAATACCAACAATTTTGTATATCCAGGCATCGGGTCAGAATCCCAATTTTGCTGTTGGATATCCCTATCCCGCCTCTAACGATTATTCAGGTAACAACCTACAGAAGTGTAAATACACAGTGCTTCTATATAGAATTTTCACTTCCTTAAAGTATTTTGGCCAAGATATTTTTTGCTTTTTGTAAAAATAAGCGGATCTGTAACAGACTTGAATAAATAACACTTTATCCATCAGCGTTCAGACGTGTCCCGTTTCTTAGATGTAAACAATCAAAGATGACCGCTTCTTACTGGTGATCATTTCAATGAGCTAGCAGGAGACGTGGCACTTGTGACATCATAGTGGCAGGTTAGGGTCACGCGTCCATAAAACAGTAGCTAAAGAATCGGAGCTACAACCACCTTTATATTTTCTTTTTGTTTCAATGGACACGTATGACAGTGTGTTTCTAGGAATGAACTAAATACTTCATACAAATCTCGACCAATTTAAGAGCACGTAGACATGGACCGTATACACTTTCATTCAATTTGTTTTTGTCATAGTACCGAACGTAAATCATATTAAATAAAATACATCGGGCATTACAGTTAAACTGTTTACGCACATGTGTGAACAACCAATTTATGTCTAGTATCAGGAACTGTCACTGTCACGGACAAATGTTAAAAATATTTGTTTCATTGAAATATTGCTTTACATGTCGGCTGAAATCAGGAAACAAAATTCAAATTGCCCTTAACCACTTTTATATTTTTTTGTTTATTTAGCTTAATATCCATTACATGCAAGTACATTAGTGTGAAATTAGCAGTTTGCGGTCAAGGTTACTAGCCTAAGGTAAAAAACGCATGTATAATTCAGTTTAACGCTGCTGAAAGACTTTAATTCTCTCATCATAATTTTGTTTGGGATACAAAAAGAACGCGCTTGTACACTATACTAGCTGTGTTAATTGGAGGATCGGCATACATTTTGGCCATGACATTCACAGGTTACACCTCAATGTAATTGATTCACCTATTAAATCACAGGAAGGTATCGTAAGCTTTGGTATTAAGGAGTTAGACCTACAGGTAGTTAGCATACCTTTTAATTCACAGGTATTACTTTCGCTTAGCTTCATTGAATGAAGTTGATGCAGGCCCGGAACTAAATTTCCATGATTCAGGCTTTAATGTATAACTTAAGATAAGAATGTTAATGATGCCTTTATTTGTCGATTGATTACTTTACCAATACACCATATATTGGTTGATGTCATTACTTGCACATGTATGTAGATAATATGTAGATATGGAAAGAGCGTGCCGGAATGGTTACACGTATTGGACAGGATATCGGCGAAGTTGTGCTACTGTGACGTCACACATTACTCGTATCAGGTTCAAAATATGCATATTCACTAGGCTGATATAGATGGGCGTCACCAGGCCTGTCCATCATCTGAGTACTAAGAGAGACGGGGCCTGGGTGACTAAACGTATCATTGCATTACATGACCGTAACATATGAAATTATGAAAAATCGTGGCCAAAATCCTCTAAGTTCAACCAGTTAAATATAAAATATTGAAGCTGACAAACGTTTGTATTATAGAAAAAAGCATACCTCCAGCATCGAACACCATGTATTTCGCTCCTGACCGGAAAGTATCAACTTTGTCTGTGCAGTGTTCATATAAAAGCAGAACTTCAGGGAGGTTTTTACAGAGCATTGATGCAGCTTCTGGTTCTAATGCAAGAATTAGTTGATTCCTTGCTATTCCAGTCTGAAACGAGCAATATCCAATAAGTAATATGGTATTGACGAAATCAATATATCGTTATAACTTCAATTTTGTTACTTATTATAACTATACTACAGTTCCAAATATATACAAATATGTAATACTACCTTGTAGCCAGCATACCTAATGCTAAATACATGATATGAACAAAACAATTACTGTGCGACACCCTAAAACTATAACCAAAGCTCTCTGTTCTGTATTCAAGATAACAACAAACTACACACACTACCGTACAATCCAGGCACTACACCTACTTGTCGCGCTGAGGCACGACAGGCTTATATCCACTATGGATTAATATACGGCACTCTACACCAACGACTACCACTAGTCACGACTAGCTCTATCAACTATGCCTAGTCAGACTCCCCTACTACGCCTAGTCACGATTACCCTGGTCACGACTAGCCTGGTCGCGACTACCTTAGTTATGACTAGCACTGCACAGTCTATGCACCGCGACACCTTCTGTCTAACAGCATATCGCTACAGCTCTCAATCGTTTATTAGTTATATCTACCACGGCAGTGCGTGGAACAAGGCAAGACTTATTCAGTCACTTCTATCTTTCCAACACAAAGCCAGTCTCATTTACATTACTTATGATCTATTGCTGCTTTCAACACGCCGAGATCAGAACAGAACTAGACCGATTGCTGCTGGTTTATGCCTATGTATACCTTCTTGGTATCTTAGGGACACCTAGCGGTGAGTGATGAATAATCAACGGTACGTTTTAATTGTACCTCTAAATCTATCTACCTTCTAAGCGTGTATATAACTGAGACATAACACAAATGATTAACGCCAACAGATCAATGTACATAACCTGAATAACATACGAAAACAGCGACGGTAGGATTACGATATATACATTCATCACATTACCCACGTCTCCGAGAACAACGCGTTCTCGCGTTAAAGAACTAAATCAACTCTGATACAGAACTCGCAAAGATGTAATGACATCACTGAAAATATACAGTATGATTCGACACTGAACTTTGATCTTTCAACTCTTCTTTCTTGCCTACTGGCTCCTCGAACAGCAAAGCCATAAATTGAGAAAGTCATTGAATTCAGCAACCTCAATTGACTTGTCACCACATGTGTATCTGGTCGTTGGGGATGCACCAGTCATCCTTGTACGTTTCAAAGAGACTGGCAACGAAGGCTGCGTTATCTTTTTAACGATCCTCCCAGATAGCAGTTCCTCATTGTCTTTCTCAACAACCTCACTGTCAGAGGACTCGATAGCCTCATCCTCTGACATGGAAACAATCAAGTCCCTTCGGTCTTCTAAGCGTGTGAATTACGGAGACATACCACAAATGATTAACAACAATGTATATATCCTGAATAACATAGGAAATCAGCGAAGGTAGGATTACGATATATGCATTCATCACACAATGTGACATTTAATGTGCTTTCTCACGGAAATGTCGAAACCTTGACAAAGTAGCATAACATTCTATCCGGTCAAACTATAAAGACCACGGACTAAACGGTCCTTACTGTCAACCATTTGAATATTTGAAACACCAGTATGTACCAATTTCAGGTATTTGGTTTGTAGAAAATGACGGATGATTTGTGAGAATGATTACTAAGTGTTTGGTTTGCAATTTGAGAATGAGAGAAAATGTACTTCTGTAAGATAAACATGTGAAAAATAAACAAATAAAAAAGTGCAAAGGCGTGGGGCAAACATGCAATCGGACAAAACTTATATGACAAAACCGTAACTTCCAATTATCACAAAACATTAAAGTTGCTTTTAGTATATACATATTGATTTACTGGGTATATTACTTGTATATTATTTTTGTCAAAGGTAAAGTGGTAAAAGACAAATCACACGGCTTAGATTGTCGATTATCTCCGAAATGGTAGTTTTTTGGATAACCTTTCACATTAGAATAGTGCAAACTTTGCCGAGATTTTTCCACCGCCTCTCTCTCAAAAACAGTCGAAGTTATTGGTTCTTAATCCATGTAATTCGTGCGAGCTTTAAGGCGTGTTGGGCTTATTGTTTTCATTCTCGATCTGTGCGCCCAAACACTTTCGACTGAGGTTGTAGGGATGATCGATATAACAACCTATTATACCGAGAATGTCTTACACAAATTAGGCTTTTTTATATCATATACACAATCAACATCGTGTCTTACCCTTTCAACTGCCTCTCGCATCATCTGTTTCGCTGCGTCACTCCATATGGTGGGTACAGTGACTACCCATCTGATATCCGACTCGGAGACATCGACTCCCTGAGTCTTTATCGTTTCCATCAAATGTCCCTTCAGGTAGCCTATCACAGCTGATATAACTTTGATTGCTGACATTTCCTTTCCATCTGATGTTCTCAACATTAGGTTTTTGTTTATCTGAAATATAATGATATGTAATGGTTGTATCATCAAGGTTTTACAATGAACATTTTGTTTGTCAAAGGATGAGCGTCTATAATGCCCGTGTATGGGCCCCAGTAAATCCGAATTTTAACCTCTGTATTTTTTCCATAGATACCATACTGTATTACATGCGCAAAAACTAAAGCAAATGTTTAACCAAAGTGGGTTTTACGGGTACCAAAAGGGGTCAGGTAAATCACAAATATAATTTGCTGTTTTCGAAATGGGCTAAAAAAAATAATGATATTTTTGTTGATGAAAACATAAAAAAAAATTAAAAAAATACAGATATTCAATCGCCACTTAAAGATTAATTGAAAGTGTTTTGTTTTCTCAAAAATTTCCTTTTTGATTTATATTTTCAGTTGAAATCTACAACTTTACTCATTTGAATAAATGTTCATAAAACGCATATTCACTACACACTTTCCTTTTGTTTAATACTGAGTTATTGATTCTTGACACATCACGAACTTGGCCATTTCAAATACCTCTCTATCATAAATGAAACAAGAGGCCCAATGGCCTTAGCGGCCAGCTGAGTTATGTTAAAGGTACCGGTAACTCAATTTTATTGTTGAGATGTGATGTGGAAATCAACAGGTAAAAAAAGTGAAATACAATACTTGTCATGTCACCAAAGGATAAAACTTTAAAATCTTTTTGAAGAAATTATTTCGTTATTTAAAATAATAACATCTATTGTTATTTAGACAATTTTCCTCTGGTTAACCCCTGGGATAGTTCAGGATATTTTTTTCCGATTCTTTTGTATTTCAATTTCATTATAACTCCAATTCCAACAAAGTTTGAACTATTTCTTGCTGAAAATGGACAATTTATAGTTAGAAGTGTTTTTCCCTATATAAACCAAGGAGAACAGATGGCCAAATGGTAATAAAAATTAACAACTTCTATACCAAAGGGCATTTCCATCTATTAAATGAAATATCAGCTTTTTCCCCTTTATGGACCCACCGCTACCGTGTAATTGCCATTGCAGCATAATTATTCAAACCATGTTTTATTAATTTCTTGCCGAGATAAGACAAAATATACCAAAAGTGTTATTTACCTACATAAACTAGAGTAAACGTTACCCTCTCCCTAGGGGAAAACAGATAACCAGGAGGATAATGAGATTTACAATTTAGATAATGCACCTAAGGAGCTTTCTTTCCATGAAAAAAGGAAGAGCAGATGACAAGAAGGATAATGAAATTTACAATTAAGATAATGCACCTAAGGACCTTTCACTCTATGAAGAGTATTTGGTCGTAAAACATCGGAGTCTGGTGAAGAAGATTTTTTTAACTTTGAACCATTTTCCTCATTTGGACCAAACCCCATCTAGCCGTTGTGGCTCTTACCAAGGAACCATTAAGCATAATACAATGACTCTAGGCCTTTTCATTCTTCATTAAAGAAACAATTGACGAACGACAGACGCCGCGCCATGGCATACGATAACTACCCCTTCAGGAAGCTGACTTGAAAGGAAATACAGCAATGAAACTTGTTGACTTTTAAGAATATTCGTATAATAAGGCGGAAATTCGATTATCTAAATGGCAACTTACACGTTCTTTGTACAGCGGCGGAAGAAAAACCAGTCTTCGTAGTCACCATCCAGTACCTGCTCGGTATAGTTATCTTCAGCCTTATATCCGAAGGAATGAAATGTCTCATCTGGCTTAAATAGAACGCAGGTGGATGTTTTCTGAGACACAAGTCCTCCTGATCCCGCATTCCACGTCATCATGTTAATTTTCAGAGGATCGGTCTGGAATTCTTTTCGAGTTGAATAGGCATAACCAGTGTACGTAGTTCCAAAATCAATGGCGGCAACCAACAGGAAATTGCCCTTAAGCTCCATACTAAAATAACTTTGGGGTTAATTACAAAAATATTGCACTCCGTAAAAAGTAAGAGAATAGAAGGCAAATGTCCTCGGACGGTTTCCTTTTTCTGGTTCTGAATCCACCACATAAATAATCCTTATCTTCGAACCAGTTTAATTTTCAATCAGTTTCCAAATACTGTAATCAAACAATGGATATGTGCATTTTAATTATGGTTCCCATTACAATAAATTCAAATTACAGAAATTTAAATATTCAGTCAATTTGTTATGTAACTTTTTAGCTTTTCTCTTGAACAATACAGAGCGTATGCTTGAACAAACTTTAAAGCAAGTGGATTGTGTTAGCACTATATATAATTCAAGTTATGACATCCTTAATAAAAACCAAAAACTAAAAATTAAAATCGAAGAATTATTCAAAGAAAAATGTAGTTATTTGATGTTGAAGTAAATGTTTAATACTCTAATGTCGATGTTTGCTAATTTATATTAAGTCATAGGATCTCATGTTTATGCGACGAAAAAATAGTAAATGAGGTGTGTTGGATTTTTGTTTTTCATCAGTTTTAAATACGATTTGAGGTTGATCATATTTTACCTCATTTGATAACCGAGATTGTAGAATTGATAGATACACAGTCCAGCAGTCTATTTTACAATCTAGTATGTGTACATGTGGCATGTTACCGTCAAAAAGAAATCTAAAATGTAGGAATTTCTACTTACAGCAGTATGGTTAGGTTTTTATAAGGTTCAGCATCCTATTAACATTATAGGTAATTAAACGCTCTATGAGCATATAAGGTCACCAAATGACGTGCCACCATGACTGTAATACATTTGTATGATGCCTATTTAAGAGTGCTACCTCAATAAAATACAGAACCACGCCGTAGTCAGCATACCATTATACTGAAAAATTGGTAACCAATCACAGGCATTCTCCTATACGCTGAATGCTAAGCAGGGAATACCAAATACTAATATTGATGCCCTCGGGTTCTATGTGCCCCATTTAGCCGAACACTCCAAATAATAGCCAAAGTGAGGTAGCGCCAAGCAAGGAAATAGGAGACGAAGGTTTGTTAGATTAGTTGTTCAGGGTTGAACGTCATATCGACAGCAACGGTCATTTAAGGACGTGCCTCCATATGTGTTGTGTATTCATGCATGTGTAGCGGAAACAAGGTATATGTTGTATTTACCTCCTTGTGATAGCACAGATATGGCGCCGACTTTATAGGGACCACGGAACCAAATCAAAAATAGATTGTGTTTTTTCCCTTTTGGGCAGAAGATTTAATAGGAAGGTGAATGCCTCGGGGCCTGCTGGTTTGATATTTAGGTGGCAGAAGTTTCAAAAGATTTATGTGTGGGTTGAGCAATATATATAGATGTAATATGCATAATTTTTAAAAAAAAAATCAAGTCTGCTCTTGTCTTGGTGAGTTTATTAAGTGTGTAATTTGTTGTAAATTTTAGTCGATTTTTGGTGCCGAATTCAATACAAGATGGCGGCCCCCACGTACAAAAAGTTCAAATTGGCAGAATTTTTAAATATTTTATTTACAGTTGTGTGAGATGATATTCTTCAAAATGAGGGCAGGTAAACCAGTGTGGATAACCCCATTGAACCAGGACAGTGGTAAACGTCTATGGAAAATCATTTGGTTCTGCGGTCCCTATAGAAAGATGCAGAATATGACGTTTTACACCATTCAAACGTCCCTGGAAACCAGATGATGGGACCCACCAGCATATTTCTGGTTGCAAATCTAATCATGGATGTGTTTTGGCAGAATTAAGAGGGAAAATTAGCTGCAGGAGGATAATATGATGGAAATATACACCCATTTAAAGCGTGGAGGGGGCCAATGGACCAGGGAGGATATGGGCGTATTGTGGTTAGATGGCCAAATTGACACAGAACAACACAGAGTTCTCAGACTGTCACTGATGGTACATTATAGATTGCTGAAGGAGGATTTCCCGAGGAGGGATTGTGACGTCATGATTTTGGAGGTCAGTCATCTCTGATATGAACCGATATTTTTTTTTATTAATAATCCATTTACTTATTTATCTTTCTTTCTGTGTGTGTGTGTGTGTGTGTGTCTGTCTGTCTGTCTGTCTGTCTGTCTGTCTTTCTTGTAAGATATATATTAAAGAATAAAAAAGACCTTTTTTTAAGTTCTCAATATTTTAATGTTTCATTTCTTTTTCTCAATCATAACCCTGTCTTACACATAAATTTCTTCTTATTTCTCTTTTTAATTTTACACCACAATGATGTCTTTTTTGTTCTTTATCTAGGTCCTTGGACACAGAGCTCCCAGCAGTGATTGGAGACCCAACCCTACTACACAGTTCTTTAATAGCAGTCCCCGGTCCATGGTTCACAGGATACACCGCCCTATGAGCTCTCCCTGAAAAGTTACGAGTAAAGTTTACACGTGATGGGAGAGACTGTTTCAGCCGTCTGTTCCACAGATTCTACCTTTTGGGTCGACAGGTTCATCAGGGTCATTTCCAACAAGGAGTCACGGAGACAGGCCTTAACTTTCTCAATCAGAATTTTTGACACAGTGGCCTCTCCACCGCTGACCTTGAAATCACTTGGTACGTATACGTTGTCTGTTTTCTTATTATTTCTTTTCTTCCCTGCACACACTATTGGTTTGGTCCTGTACTCACAATACACACATTGGTAACACTTCACGATTACCTCCCTTACACCTTGAGCAGCCCTCTCCCTTCACTGTCTTTCATCTCAGTTGGTGTTATGTAAACATTATGTAATCCTATCATTGTGGTGTTGTACTGTTTGTTCAGTTATTTTTACTTTTGTGTCTGTTTTTGGCTCTTTTCTCTAAATAATTGCTGGTGTCTTGAATGTTTTACAAAAAGTCAGAAATTAAGGGGGTATAGGTCTTAAAATCTCCCCTGATCTTCAGACAATATGTTATTTGTTTATATTTCCGAGTAGTACAGTACCTGTACTTTAATAAAAACTCAAAACCATAAGTCTTTGTATAATGTTTATTAAAATATGTAAGTTTACATTTTCATTGTCTTTTCTTCATCTCCATCTTCAGTACCAGTAGAATACTTGACATATCAGCCCAAGCCATTGAGCCAGCCACTTCCCATTTTGGTATCATACCCTATGGTCCTGACTGTTTCCAAAAATGGTAAATTTGAAAAATATGTGTTTCCTATAGGGACCACGGAACCAAATCAAAAATAGATTGTGGGTTTTTCCCTTTTGGGCAGAAGATTTAATATGAAGGTGAATGCCTCGGGGCCTCCTGGGTAGATATTTAGGTGGCAGAAGTTTCAAAAGATTTATGTGTGGGTTGAGCAATATATATAGATGTAATATGCATCAAAAAAGTCAAGTCTGCTTTTGTCTGGGTGAGTTTATTAAGTGTGTAATTTGTTGTAAATTTTAGTCGATTTTTGGTGCCGAATTCAATACAAGATGGCGGCCCCCATATAAAAAAAAGTTCAAATTGGCAGAATTTTCAAATATTTTATTTACAGTTGTGTGAGATGATATTCTTCAAAATGAGGGCAGGTAAACCAGTGTGGATAACCCCATTTAACCAGGACAGTGGTAAACGTTAACACTATCGTCTATGGACAATCATTTGGCTCTGCGGTCCCTATAGTGATATACGGAAATACCATGCCGAAGGCACCCTCACCACATTCCGCCCGGTCACCTTATACTGACAACAGTTGTTGCGATTCCCCTAAAAGCTGAACGTTCCGCAGGGAATAACAACTACCATTTTTACGGACTTCAGTGTGTCGCGGCCAGAGGACTGAACCCATTGCCTTCTTCATCTGGGCGAACGCTCAACATGAAGGCCAAAAGTTAGGTGTTGCCAAGCAAGGCGCTAGGAAATTAAAGGTAGTTTGAAATAGTTGGACATATAAAAATCCAAAATATCGCAAGGGGATTTATTTTGGTCATTTTTGTGTCCCAAGTAGAGGCCACAAAAGCAAATACTTAATTCTGCAGGAGGTTCCAAACATTAATCGCCTCTTATGATACATGCAGTGGGTAACTGCAGGTGTAATAAGCTTACAATAATAAAGAGTTCAGAATTATTGTTACCATAATGATGATAAAATACTTATATATATGTATGGAATTGCCTTGTATGATGGGGGAACCGGTAAACGCTTGTGGGTTTTGGATCAACCCTTGTCATCCCCACTGATATAATATAAAATGGATGGAATGCTCTCGACGTCGAAATATACATAAAACGGAGGGCACTACAAACTTTAACACATTCATTCATCCACAGCCAAATCCCGAATAATACTATCCGAGAAAATCAAAACAGGCTCGTATCTGATTTCCAGTATGGTTATCAACGGCTTTGACTTCTATCTCTGATCCCCCGAAATACATCGTTACATGTGCTCTTCTGTCAAAACCTAATCTTGTATCAGGCATCTCCAACGTGATTTCTCCCATCTTTTCACAATTTGCGTATGTGATATACATTGAGTCAACAGACGGTGAGATATGCAGTCCAAAACGTATACGTGTTTGATCTGAAGTAGCCACACTGTACGTTCGAGTAAACGAAGTTGTACCAATCTTAATATGTGTGCTCTTTTTGACAAATGGTGAAAAAAAGATGTTACACCTAGCTTCCCCTCTTTCATCTGTTATACGACAATCTTTTATGTGTACTCCTTCTTTGAAAAATATCCTGGAATCGGTTCCGTATGTGTATTAACATATCCGCTCTGACACAGTTTGTTTTCTAGAAATGCGCCGAATAAGGGAAATATCACCGAGGAAACGCGTGCACGTGAGGGCGGTATGCTTTTTTATTGTCTCGTTAGGTAATCATATTATCAATCAGCCACACAGTTATCAGGGAGGGAGAACTGGTACATGTAGAATTGATGGAAGTCGAATTGTACACAAAACGGGGGCGCCACAACATTTATCACATTAACTTATTTGCAGACGAACCCCGAAACACTATCCGAGGAAATCAAAACAGGCTCGTATCTCATTTCCGGTATGTTTGTCAACGGCTTTGACTTCTATCTCTGATCCCCCGAAATACATCGTTACACTTGCTCC